TCCCCGGGTCCTAAAATGCGCCGGTGCCTTCGGGGCGTCCCAGCAGCAGACACCCCAGCCCTGGCACACCGGTAGCCCCACTGAGGATGAGCAGCACTATACGCACTGCCCCGGCCGTCCTGGTGGTGCAGTACCCCACAATGCACGCGTGGATTCCAGCGCCCCCCGTGTAACAGAGCTCTTCCCATAGCCTGGGTGCATCCCAGCACTGCAGCATCCTCAGACACGCATCAGCCACATTGCACGTTTGCGGCCCCCCCGCCCCCCAGCCCTGCCACACCGGTACCTCCGGTCCATTGCAGCCGTGCAGCACGCTGCCCTGGCCTTTCTGCGTGGCCCCGAGGTGCACATGGGGGTTTCCAGCCCCTCTGCATCCCGTCCCCGTGTAACGATGCTCTCCTGGTACCCTGGGTGCATCCCAGACGTGCAGCTCAACACCACAGCATCCTCAACACGGCACGACCCCAGACACGCAGCCTTGGACCCCCAGCTCCCCTGTACTCCAATCCTGGCACATGGGTACCCCCGATGCAGCGCGGATGAGCAGTACACTGCCCACTGCCCCAGCCTTCCCACTGGTGGAAGACCCCATGGCACATGTGTGGTTTTCCAGCCCCTCTGCACCCCATCTCCATGTAGGCGTCCTCTCCCAGTACCCTGGGTGCTTCCTGGCCATGCAGCGCCATGCTCAGCACCACGGCGTCCTTGGAGCTGCGTGACCCTGTCCAGGCAGGGCAAGCCCTGCACGCTGCACCCTGCACCCTGGTCCCAGTGCAGGGCTCCCCTGCTCCCTCCGTGCAGTGCCGTGCCCACCCCAGCCTTCCTGTTCCCGCTGCTGCCCGATTCCAGGCTGCCCGCAGGGGTCTGCTGCCCCTGAGGTGCCCCTCTGAGAGGGCTGGGGGTCAGCTCAGCCCCTCACCTCCCTGCCCGCCTCAGCCCCAGCCCTCACCCCAAAATGCCCCACCGTGGCATTGGTCGTGGCATGAGGCTGGGCCTTGCTCTGTACCACACCACGTGCCACCAGAGCTGCCCTCCTGTGGTGGGGCAGAGGGTAGTGCTGGTGACACGGGGACGTGTGGAGCACTTTGCCACCAAGGGAAGCCAACTGTGCTCCCCAAAATGCCATGGCAGCGCCACCCACCTCTGTGGGACAGGCAGGGCTCCAGGCTCACTGTGTTCACAAGGAGCCCCCAGCCACGGGAGGCAGGACATGCTGCCTGGCCAAAACCCGAGTTGGAGCCTGTGGGGATGTATGGAGCCCCAGCGCCAGAGCCGGCCCCGCACCCACACCCAGCCGGCTCGACCTGGGCGCTGCAGGGCTGCCGTGACTCAGGGACTTCAAGCTGAGGTGGTGCCGCTGTGTTTATTTAATCATCCTCGGTGGATTTTTTACCCGTGAATCCGCCCCATTAGGCTTTCAGCCACCTGAATTATCGGCACCCACATCCTGTGGCCAGCAGTGCCAGGCCTGGTGCAGCACAGGAGCAGCCACCTTCTCTGGCATGGCTGGGGTGGTTTTCTGTGCCCAGCACCCTGAGCAGTGCCAGGGACCCCTCCTTGGCCACTTTGCCCCTTCGGCTCCCACCAAGGGACTGCTTTGCCCCTCTCCCACTGCAGCACCCCGCTCTGCACCCCATGTCCTGCACAACTCACGCAGTGGAGAGCAAGCAGCTGCCTCCCTCGGTCCCCCACTCCCAGCTCGGGGATGCTCGGGGCTGGGGGGGGAGGGGGGAGACCGGATCTCTGGGGTGTCTCTGGCCCCGGAAAGTTGGGACTCGATGGCCACGGGAAGCAGGGAACCGGGAGGGAAGAGCCAGGGAGCTGGGAGGGGAGAGCCCGGGCACCGGGAGGGGAGAACCGGGGGCCTGGGCACTGAGGTCGGGAATTGGAGCCAGAAACCAAGACCAGGGTGCG